AAAATTTCATCAAATTTGAATTAATAGATATTAAAATATTAAAAAAAACACAGATACTTACAAAATTTTTCAAACCTCCAAAAATAAAATTAAATAACTTATTAATTATGCAAGTATATAATTTAAAAATAACAATACATGATCACAAAAAGATATAAATTTAGGTAAATAAATAAAAGCCAAAATTAATTAGTAAGTTTTTGAATTATAATTCAAGTCTTTAGATGTGGAATTATTTTTGTTACCATCTTGTATAAGGACTATTTTATATATGCCGTAGAAATTATTAGGGCATAATTTTTACATAAATTTTGACATGCAGCAATGTCTAAATCTAAAATTCATGCTGCAACTTATAATCAATGCCTAAAGTCATAATTAATATCATAAGTGCTAAAGTAATAAAGTATAATCGATAGTGCCAAAAGTATAAAATATAATTGATATATAGTGGCAATTATAAGTAATGAAGCAAAAAAAAATTTTTGCTTAGATCGTATTATTTCAAGCAATTTTATTCTTTTATTTTTTTTTTTTAATTTATTCATAAATAGCTATTTTTTTTTGATATTAAATTTTTAATAAATATTGTTGTTGCTAATTTAAAAATAATCACGTGTGTAGTATGAAACACATGATGTATTACTTTTGATCGTTTCCAACTAAGATCAGATGAGGTATTTGTATAACACAAACAACAATATAAAAGTAAAATACATTGTTGTTTTGTATTATTGTACAATGTTGAATCTAATCTATAATCAAATTTCCCCCAAAAAAATGAATGACTCCAGCCCAAAGGGCTAATATTTACTTTTACTGCAAAAAGAATACTTCACAAGGATGGTAGGTGTCACCTTTAACATTAGCTTCTCCACCATATCTTATATTAAAACTAAGTAAGAAAAACACTGTGTATTCAAGGACTTGAAAAGAGTTGGTTGCTCAGTTGCTCTGAGCAAACATACTCAAAGGAAAATCATGAACCTAATCACCTCTCGTCATTGTTCAAGTGCTGTTGAAGTTTCCTTCCAGCTTAAAGAACAAGAAAATATTGACATTTCTGTACCTACTGTCTGTTGTATACTTAGGACCCATGGTTTGGTGTCAGGAATCAAAAGAAAAAAGCTTTATCTAAACAAAATTCATAAAAAACATCAGTTAAAATTTGTAGTAAAACACGAAAGTTGAACCTACAAAGACTGGGCCAAGGTCATTTGGTCTGACAAATCGAAGTTCAAGATTTTTAGGTCAGATGACAAGCAATATTATTGGAAGCATCCTGGTAAACCTTTAAGCAACTTCCATATTAAGCCTACGGTGAAGTATGGGGGTGGTTCCATTATGATTTGGGGCTGTTTCTCGTCTCGTGGTGTTGGTGGTTTTTGTCAGATCGAAGGCCACATGGATGGTGAGCTATATCGTCAAATACTTCATGAGGATTTTTTGGGTACCATTAGGGACCATGGGTTTAATATTCATAATGTGATTTTCCAGCAAGACAATGACCCCAAGCATATGGCAAAGTTGACGAAATGTTGGTTAAGAAATAACTGTATTATGTTGTTGGATTGGCCCCCAGTCACCCAATCTCAACCCCATCGAACATTTGTGGATTGAGGTTGACCGTCGACTTAGGAACCTCCCCGAACAAATTTCGAGTAAGGAAGACCTGTGGAACAAGATCCAGGTTGTTTGGGAACAAATTGATAGTGAAACGTGCACCAACCTTATTCGATCCATGCCCGAACGGATTCGGGATGTTATCAAGGCACGTGGTGGATACACCAGGTGGTAGAGGCCAAAAGAACTAGAATAGAAAAAAAAAATTTTTTTTTTATATGTAAAAAAATTTTTTTTTGTTTTAAGATCGTGCTGCATTACATACGATCAAAAGTAATGCAGCACGTCAAATTAAATAAAGTTTATGTTAACGAAAAATTATGATCATTTATTTTTTTTGAATTTTTAATACATGAAATCTATAGTATTCACGAATAAATTAAAAAAAAAAATAAAAGGATACGTTGCGAATTGCTCGAAATAACGCGATCTAAGTAAAATTTTTTTTTTGCTCCATTACTTATGATCGCCACTGTAAGCCTCATGCGCTATCCAAGCCTTCTTGATTTTCGATAATGCCACTTTTAGTCCGTGACAATACGTACCGTAACACAATGAAAATTATAATGACTACTATCCAAGCCAAGAGAAGTATAATTAATCAATATACATTTTGGCAATTCAAGGTAGATAGTAAGAAGGATCGTTGGTTTACTAACAAGATGTAAATACCGTATAGGCGCGTAATAACTAACGCATATGGCATTAGTTATTTCGAAATTCCTTTTTTTGAAAATCTCATATTTGACTTAAAATAACGCCATGCACGACCCGAAGTAACGCGTTCAACGTACATAGTTTTTAGCAGCTGTAACTTTTTTCTTCAAAAATTAGGATAATGATTCGAATTATCGCGCATGCGCGTTATTACGCGCCTATACGATAATGCTCTACACATACTAAAAAATACATCACATAATGATAAGGTTTGGTCTGATCAGGAATTAACATTAAGATGGAGAGCATGGGAAATTTTGCCCTTAAATATATGAATAATACTTATGTCATCGACCCAGCGAAAGCTAATCATATGTTTGGCTAATTATTATACGACACAGGGCGCGAGCTAGTAAGACTACTATTGTCATCACATGAGGGTAAATCCTCTTTTATACAATATATATATATATATAAAAAAAAAGGACAAAATTAAAATCGACATCCAGAAATAAATTTCAGCCTTGAAATAAGTATACATATTTTCATATTCATAGCGATAAGAATTTAAGCATCGATCTAAAACTAAAAATTTATATAAATCTATAAGTAAATTTTAGTTGTAGTTGCATAAATTATTTATTTCCTTTCTAGCTTTTATCAAAAATGAATACAGTCGCATCTCCCTAAGTGCATCCTCCTTGGGACCATAGTAAAAAAAAAGCAAAAGGTGCACTTGGAGAGAGTGTGCACTTAGGGAGATTAAAATTTATAATTGTTATATTAATTGGGACCAAGAAGGAGTATGCACTTAGAGAGGTTTTTCATATACCGTGCACTTAGGGAGGTCTGACTGTAACTTTAATTCGAGAGAATAACGATTTCGTCACCAGATGAAATATCATAATACGATAGTTGACGCAAATCATCATTCATCTCCATTTTTAATACTGTTGTACCTTTTTCTGTCTTAAATTGAAATCAAGTTAATAAATAAAATAAAGAAAAGTCAACAATTAAATGTAAAACATACTTTATAATTGGTAATTGCAAATAATTGCTGTTGTGAAGCTGGTATTCCAAAGAGTTTTTGAAGCAAATTTTTCAAACTTCGTATTTCCATTGTTCCTGTAATAATTTGAAAAAAGTTAGACAAAAGGCATGCATACTAACATAAAACATCATGCTTAAATGGAGACGTTACCTAAAAGTTTTTTAGAAATCTTTTTTATAGGATCTTGTTCAAGGGATGGTCGAGAAGTGATTGTGAGTGCTATGATTCGTAAAATTATCATTGACAAAAAAAAAAAAAAAAATTGATTCAATAGTTCATAATGACAAAAAAAAAAAAAAAGATTCAATAGTTCATAATCAGCTATACAAACCTAATAAACGATCCTTTAAAATATTGCTGGTGGCTTTCATACTTATTTCATCAGCAACTGGTGTACCGTGTAGTTCACACAATTCTTTAAATCGCGGATGTTCTTTCTCTATTTCTTCTGGAGTCTTTTTAAGATCTTTTACACATATTCTAAGATAAAATCTTTCTGCGTCAACCCTATCCCCTGGAGATATCTAGACAACAATGATATTATGACATATTATCATGAATCTATAATCGTATACAAGCAACTCATCTGTGAAAACACTACTTACAATACTGCCATTTAACACTGATAAACCCTTGACTCGGCCAATTAACGACATATTCGCCTCAGTAAGTTTTTCGTCTGTATTTTTTTTTTTTAAAAAAAAAATCGCAATCACAGAATTAACTGTTAGACCTTAATAAAAATTAAATAAATTCATACGTACTGTCAAGAAATGGATTTTTTTTGATTCGTAGTTCATTTAATGAAGGAAATTTGTTGAGTTCATCAATACTATTCCAATCGCTAATCTTGTTTTCATTAACATTCAAATATCGTAATTTTGAAAATCCTTTATTATTTTCATTTTCCTTTGTATAAAAAATGCGCTCAATTAGATTATTATTGAGAAAAAGAGTTTCCAAACTGTATTCAAAATGACAATTAACTTTTTGTATTAAATAAATTAAACAGATTTCGGAAAAATAAAAAAAATTTAGTACCAAGGCAAATCCGAGAAAAATGCAATTGTATCCCAATTATCTATACCGTTAGATTCAAGATTAAGCATTTTTAATTTTACAAATCCTTTAACTTTATTTACTGGATGATTTTCTTTTTCATTCTCATTATTATACAATATTCTGATATTATTAAAACCAAGTTGCAGGTTTTCTAAACTTGGAAAACATGGTTCAAGAAGTTCTATCTGAAATAAACATACAATTGTTTATAAAATAGAATAATAACAAAAATGTAAAACAAATATGAATTATAATAAACCTGATCCCAAGATATTCGAGTATGATTAAGAGAGAGATTTTTCAAATTTAAAAATGCATTTGAAAAATTTGGTACACTCTTCAGCGGTTGAAACCAATTATAACTAGTTGCAGAAGTCAATAAAACGATAAATAAAAATATATAATTTTATTAATATTCACTGTCAATGTTAAAAATTCTTCCTTACTTTAAACGCAATACTTCCAACTTTTTGAGTTCCTGGCAAATAAGGGCAACTGTTTCCCAGTCTGATAGTAGATTCTTTGATAAATTTAAATCGATGATATCTGTACATGAATTGAGATAGTTATTAGCGAATGATAATAAACCATCTAAATTTATAAAAATATCTATATTTAATTTTAATATACTTGGACATGTAGCTTCAATTTCTCCAGGGTTACCGGCATTTGATATTTGCTCAAAAGAAAGACCAACTTCAGTCAATAGGTCTAATTTTCTATTCTAAAATATATCAAAAGGTATGAAAAAATTTTTTATATTGCTAATATTATAATTATTAATACCTACCGTTGTTTACGACGAATTTTGTCCCATCCTAATGCTTCAACTTCGATCTTAGTATTTCCTGCCCAATAAAGCGTGTCTAAATCCTTTTGAGCATCATATGTCTCTTCTTCATTCCCTTGTATCTTTCCATCACCATCGTAATCAATATACTTATTGATGAGAGCAGCGACAAAACCACGACCTGTATTTATCTTTGGCGAAAAACGGATAAAAGAACCGCTATTGGGTACGCTATGATTTGATTTAAGATATTAGGATTTATTTTGAAAATTACGGACATAACACATATGATATGCTTATTAATACAAACCTACAAGTAAAATAGCGCGTGCCCTCGTGAACACCATCATGTCTTCCTCTTACTACGTTATCCCATTCTACGCCAAGCCACTCTCCCTTTGTAGGTGGAACAGGCCCAACATAACGAACTGTAGCTAGTTGATCCTCAAATTGAATGCGTTTGTTCAAAAGAGTAGTATCAACTTTATGATCATTAAATGAATCCGCCATAATCTAAGAGTCCAAATTAATGAAAATTACTGACTATGAAGAAATTAAAAAACTTTTTTTTACACACATTAAACGCGAACGATTAGAAGAAAATTTAACGCAGTACATATACTGGTATATATACTGCATATATATATACTATTTATAGTAATTGATCTCCGTTTTTTTAGTATAAATTGGATTTTTTAAGTTTCAATGCTCTTTCAAACTTCGAAACTTTGAATGATGGTATTTACCGTACGTTTTTCGATTGTTCTAGCAATTTTAATTTGTCTGCACACATGTGTACTATGGGGACAAGAGCATGGAAAGGTGCATAAAATTTAACGTTTTTGTCTTACAAACATTTGTTTTAAAAAGAAAGCAAAGCATAACCGATTTAATTTTATATCAAGACTAATGAACTTAGATATGGTGTTTACCATAAACTTCCTCATCACTCAAAATATTCAAAACGCGGCGAAATTGTTGTGACATTATCCCGTGCTGTCGCAAAATATTCTAATTCTGGAGATGTATTATCAATAAATGAATTTGAAAATGCAGATAAAACAAATAATAATCCATACTATCT